TTCCCTTCGAGCAGCACATTCCAAGAATTCCTGGGTAAAGTCTCCTTCCTTATTTAGGAAAATTTAGATGAAGTCATTAAAATAGCTTTGCTGCTGGATAAAAGTCAGCAAAATGAAGACTTCTGATTTGAGTTGAAAGAAAACCCTGATTTCTTTAGTTTCTGCAGGATGTGTGTCTTCAGAAACAGCACTATGGGTGAAACTGGATTTGAAAGTCTACAATATACATTCACACAAGAAAAAAGGAGATGTGACCAAGATGCCGAAAAGAAAACCTTTCATTAGCTAAAAAGCCCAACATGTTTTGGCCTGTGGATAGTCTGAAGTTCTTCTTCATGGGGTTATATAAAACATCACAAAAGGGCAATGCACGGCATTATACTGCATTATACTGTTCTATTTGTCCATTGTGCATAGCCTGTACTGCAGAAATTTCAAAAAAAATAATACTATAAGCATAAAAGCAGGTCCACTGAGAAACATGGAGCATGATGAACTGTTTTGACCAGGCTATAGAACGGTCTACACATTCAGCCATCAGCTGTCCTCAAGCAAATCACCTCATCTTCTAACAATAAGCATAATGGCCAGTAGGCTTGTGTGTGGATCTGTTTTAGCCGTTTTCCTTCTGCCAATCTGGCTTGTTCGGTTTGATCAGATGGCCGCAATGGCAAGGGCCCAGTCGTCACATTTTTTTGTCTGTTACAGGATCACGTGGCAGCCAATCATGGCTCCTCCTCCCCTAATCAGCATCGCATGCAAAGAGACTAGCGTGTGCTGCTTGCATGCGGTTTCCCTGTGAGCCCTACATGTTGAGCCAATAGGAATAGAAGAATACCATGATGTGTCTTACGCAAATTGTGTCTGCTTCCTTCACCTCATTGCTGAGACCCATGCTCTCTTGAAGGGAAAAAAGGAAAGGGTCCCAGGAATGGAAAGGGGAGCATCGCAAGTTCTCCAATTCTGCCAAAAGACCGGATCTAGCTGTATTTTTCGGCCGAGACATGAAAACAGCTATTTGGCTACCCTTCCGTTTTTGGGAGGTGCATGAAAATGGATACGAGGGTCTACCGGAATCTGGCCAGCAGAAATGGATCTAAGTTCAGCCAAAATGCACAAGCTTAACAACCAGTATTCTGTATCAGCTACCTAGAGTGTGTTTACACTCTGCAACTGTAGAAGTCTGAACCCATTTCAATGACCTTAGTTTTCTATGAAATGCTGGGGTTTGTAGTTTGGTGAAGTATGTAGAATCTTTACTGAAATATATCTCTAGTGGTCACCAGACTAGAACTTCCACAATTATATAGGACAAAACAATGGTAACTAAAGTGTGATCAGTTTTGCAGTGTGGCTGTACTCTTTCTTAATGTTATTTATTAAATAATCACTTCTGGTCTGAACCCATCAAACCTGACAGAAATGTCATTCARCCACACTCCAGCTGCCACTAGAATAGATCTCTCCATGCTGTTGATACTGAATAAAGCAAGTTGGGGGGGGGGGGGGGGAAAGAGTTGCAATCATGGCAACAGAATCACAATCATGATTAAGTGTCAATTGTGAATATAGGACAATTAGTTGGATTTGCTCATCCCGAACTCTTCCATATTCACAATGTCTACGTACTTAATAATGACTGTAGTACACCACTATCCCAACCACTCCTCTTACATGACCAGGGAGAAAGAGATCCATTCAGTCCTCCACACTGCTGAGGTTAGCGGCACAAGACCCTCACAAAAGTGAGGAAAAAACACAATTAAGAAAACTATTTTTTTAAACCGGAGAGAACACTTTTCTAGGAATCTCAAAGTGTTCCAGTGTGACTCAATGGTGGTTTAGGTCTGGTTCTCACTATACTGCGCTTTCCTGCCAAACACTCCACCTCTGGAAAAGAAATGGGAAATGTCAACATATTATGTTTGAAATAGCAACATTCTCAAGCTTCCACTAGTTATTTGTTATGTATATAATTTAGATTGCTTATTGTATTGTATATGAGTGTATTGGAATGCAATTTCACCTTGTGGGAGGAGCTGCAGACCATGTGATCAGGTTTGGGCTTGTTCAGGACTCAGACTCCATTTTAGAAATAGTTATGCTTTAGACTTCAGTACATAGGAACAGTATGTTGTACAGAAACCATTAGACTTCACTGGACTTTCAGACTAGACAGAGACTCTAACAGACTCTCAGAACAGAGAGATGCTTTGGACTATGGACTACTGATTCTAAGAAAGATGCCCTGTGTTACCTACATAGAGAAACTACTTCAAATCCTATTTGTAATTGGATTGATAAGCAAAGCACTTGCATGCTGAATACATGAAGTTTGTGAGTAAACCAACTATGTTACTTTTAAAGAAATCTACTTAATTTTGTCTCTTGAGAGCATGATTTAAAGGCAAATATATTTTAAGGGAGGGTAGTTGTTTTTGGGTAACTAAAAAAAGAACTGTTCTGAAACTCTTCTGTATATGTGTGTGTGTGTATGAATGCTGGTGAATGCCATTTTTCCAAAAGGTAATGACTCTAACAGGTCATGCTTTTACCAAGAGGTTATGGCATCATTTTTCAAAAGGTTATGACTTCTAACAAGGTCATTCCTTTCCAAAGATCATAAAATCTCCAAAATGATTATGGAGATTTCCATTTTCCAAAATATTTTATCCAGACCAAATAAAGAGCAATGCAACTGAACCCGAATACTAGTCAAGAACAGTTGTCTAAAGACAACATACTAACAACATAGGCAAATCAAATATTATGACTCAATACATGGGCAGAAATATATGTCAAAACTGAACTTATGGGCAGAGAAGAGAAGTAAATCTGCTCTACAGACCAGGAGCTAAAGTTGCTGTATTGTATGAAATGGCAGTTTACGAGGTGTGGACTGGTTTACCACAACGATCTCTGGAGGCAGGATACACATGCCTTGCCGCTTAAAATAGCCACACATCTGTGGCTGATGGTATGATAAACATGAGTGAAGCAGCCCTGGGCAAACTGCATAGCTACACAAGACTTGCTGCATGCATAAAACTGAGTTAGACACTAAAAAAAAGTCCTAGTATTTCTGTCCCAGCCTTCTTTTCAGCTCCCTTTCCTTGCAAAAACTGCTGGAACTAACACGGATGTTCTACAAAGCCTCCATCAACAGTGAATGTGGGATGAGCTTTGACAGCTCGAGGCTTGCCCTGTTCTGAGTGTAGAGAAAAGCCTCCTGCAAAAAAAAGAAGGAGGAGGAAAAGAAATTGCAAAAATAGGCCAATAAGCCCCAGGACAGGAGACTAATTGCAGCTGATGTGCTTAGATTATACTGTTTGGGACAAGCCTCCAATTGTGAAAAAGCAAAGTAGAGATAATGGGTCTCCAACTGAAATGTGAGCCCTCTCTTTGTTCGGTCTTTAGCAAGGGACATCTTCCTGACAGATGATGGAAAACAATAGTGCCAGCTCTTGCTGAATTAAATCAGATGCTAAGCAACCCAGGAAGCAAGATGCACTCTCATTTGGAACATCTGCTTCTTTGGGACATTTTTTTTCTCTTGGCTTGCGAATATACAACTGCTTTGAGAGAGCTTGTCGGTATGGGCATATCATTCATGGTTTTAAAAGCCTGGCATCTCTATCAAAGGCTCTGCCACAAGACTGAGAGAGGAGGATGAGATGACTATATGGCTGATGCTGCAATTAAATGAGAAGTCTTACCAAGGTCCCTGAAAATATTGCTTAAGTATGTGATATGTTTATTTTTATATCAGTCATTTCTTCCTCTTCTCATGTTCTCAATTGTAGATGGGGACAGAGAGCAGGGGCACATTCTTGGATCCATGGTGATGCATTTCTAAAGGCCTGATTTGGAAATCTGCCTAATGTCTACAATGAGGAACCTGCTGTACTACCTGTGGAAGAACAGCAACTTCAATGCCAAATAAAACCCTATATATTTTCCCCTTTTCCTGGATAGGTAAAGGTAAAGTTTTTACCTGATTTAAGTCCAGTCGTGTCTGACTTTGGGGGTTTGTGCTCATTTCCATTTCTAAGCCAAAGAGTCAGCATTGTCCATAGACCCTCTAAGGTCATGTGGCCGGCATGACTGCATGCAGCATTGTTACCTTCCCGCCGGAGCGGTACCTATTGATTACTCACATTTGCATGTTTTCGAACTGCTAGGTTGGCAGAAGCTGAGGCTGACAGTGGGAGCTCACCCCGCTCCCAGGATTTGAACCTGCGACCTTTCAGTCAACAAGCTCAGCAGTTTAACCCACTGCACCTCTGGGGGCTCCTGGATATGCTCCTCCAATATCTGGGCAATGTTGGGTAGACCATAAAGCAGCTTAATGATATGATGAAGCTGGGCCCGGCTTTAGCCCAGCTGGTTAATCGCCAGCAACAATAGATCACTGCCGAATGGAAGGTGGCATGTTCGAAGCCCGAAGCAGATTGAGCAACTGACTGTTAAGTCTAGCTTACTGTTCACCTAAGGAGTCTGAAAGCAGCTGAGCTTTGAGTAGAGAAATTAGGCACTGCTTAAAGCAGAGAGGTATTTTATAACACCATAAAAATTTTGGTGATCAAAGAACAAAGAGGAAATACTATCCTCAAAAGGGCTCGGCGTGATAGTGGATAAAGTGACAGCTCCCCACTGTGACCAGAATGGAGCACAACCTCCAGGTACCAAAGTTGGAAAATACCTCTATCTGTCTTGAATGTCTAAAAATGGCACTGAGTGTTTGGCGTGTATGTGCGCATTGTGATCCACCCTTAGCCCCCTTTGGGGAGAGAAGGGCAGAATATAAATACTGTAAATAAATAAAAAATGATGAAATCACATGTTCAAAAGAACTGCCACATCTCTTCCTGAAAATCAGAGACCTATCAAATATGGAACCTTTCCACCAAAAACTCTCACCACATATGACAATTACATTTTTTATTTGTACCTAATCAACAAGATAATTGGATCCTGCACATGGCATGTGTATCCCTTACCTGTCGTCTTTGTTGATCTGGTCTCCAAATCCCACTGTATCCACAATGGTCAGCTTCAGACGGACATTGCTCTCCTGAAGTTCGTAGCTTCTTGCTTTCAACCGCACACCAGGTTCATTGTGAGTGGCTGGGTCACTTTCGAACTTTGTGTTGAAGAGAGTGTCCATGAGTGTCGATTTGCCAATGCCGGTTTCCCCTGAAAGAAACACATCCAAAACCAATGGTCAACTCTTCTACTTTCTCGCCTTGTGTTCAGAGCTGGATAATCACTAGGCAGAAGATATAAAGATATAAAGGGAGGGAACACCAAGCATTGCTTGGGAATAAGACCCTCACAATCTGCTAAGTTATAATACCTGCATACGTCTATGTAAGAAAGCCCCTACTTTTAGAATGTGTGCTTACATAAACAAAAATGGCTTGCAATGAGATCCAAAAACTCCTACTTGGAGAGGTCTTGTAAAAAGATGAAAAAGACCTCACTACCTCTGAGGATGCTTGCCATAGATGCAGGCGAAACGTCAGGAGAAAATGCCTCTAGACCATGGCCATATAGCCCGGAAAAACCTACAACAACCCAGTGATTCCGGCCATGAAAGCCTTCGACAATACATCGTCTTGGAAAAAGCTGAAATGATGCTTCCCAGTTTGACACGACTTTAACTGCCATAGCCCCATCCCATGAAACCGTGGGATTCATAGTTTGTTATGGCACCAGAACTTTCTGACAGAGGAGGATAAATATCTTACAAAACTACAAATGTGTTGTTGAAGGTGTTCATGGCTGCAATCCCTGGAGTGCTGTGATTTTTCTGGGCAGTATGGCCATGTTCCAGAAGCATTCTCTCCTGATGTTTCATCCATATTTATGGTAGGCACCCGCAGGGGTTGTAAGGTCTGCTGGAAACTAGACAAGTAAGGTTTATATATCTGTGGAATAATGTCCAGGGTGGGAGAAAGAACTCTTGTCTACCTGAGGCAGATGTGATTGTTGCAATTGGTCACCTTGATTGGCACTGAATGGCCTTGCAGCTTCATAGCCTGCTGCCTGGGAGAATCCTTTGTTGGGAGGTGTTAGCTGGCCCTGGATTGTTTCCTGTCTGGAATTCCCCTGTTTGTGTGTGTGTTGTTCTTGATTTACTGTCCTGATTTTAGAGTTTTTTTAAATACTGGTAGCCAGATTTTGGTTCATTTTCAGAGTTTCCACCTTTCTGTTCAAATTGTCCACATGCTTGTGGGTTTCATTGGCTTCTCTGTGGAGTTTGACATGGTGGTTGTTACAGTATATGGTTTTGTAAGTCTTGACAAGAATCATCCCTTGCTTATGTGTGTGTTGAGGAAGAACCACTCCCTGATTAGGATGTATATCAGGTGAAGTTTTCTTGATGCAGGTAGTGGGTGAAATGAAGTAATCAGAGATGGAACTATGCTACAAGGTTTGCTGGAAAGAAGCAGATTAATGCATTATTTTGTAAGTGTTTTTTTCCTTCTGCGATGGACAATGTGGACAATGTGTTTTCAAGGCTACTGTATTTTTCTTTATAAAGCTACATGTATTAACTACTCCAGAGTAAAGACATTTTCCTTTATACTCTGTGCAAATCAACTTGGGATCTGGAGCTGGGAGGACTGCTGTGTAGATTCAATATAAACTAACAAACCGCAACAGAGTGGTCCAGTATTTCTGTGTTCTCAAAACTTCCTGACAGGAAACAATTTAGATGCTAGTCCATCTCAGAGGACAGTTATTGGAGTAAACTGGGATGATGCCTATAGCTACCCACTACTAAGAGTTTGTAGAACTTTTTGCTGTTTTAAATTACAGCTCTCAGCATGCCCCTGCTAGGATGGCCAGCCGTAAACCAAAAATGTAATTTATCTTCTTTGACTCTTAACCATTTGTAATACTGTGAGCTGCTCTGCATCTCAACTGAAAGAGAAAAGCAGGAAATAATAATAATAATAATAATAATAATAATAATTATTATTATTATTATTATTATTATTATTTCCTAGTTTTCTCTTTCAGGTGAGATGCAGACATCTCCAGCTCCTCCCCTGTTTGGGTATCAGCCAGCACATCAATGACTTAAATAAAGAAATAGTTTTCTAAGATCTACAGAGACACTCGCTGGAACACCTCAGCAAGCGAGAAGTCCAAAAGTGGCAGGCTCAAACCCAGAACCTCAATCAATGGCTGATACCAAATGAGAGACTCCCCCTGGGCACACAGAAGACTGGGCGACTTGGAAGGCGCTGAACAGACTGCGCTCTGGCACCATGAGATGCAGAGCCAACCTCAAGAAATGGGGCCACAAAGTGGAATCCACGACATGCGAGTGTGGAGAAGAGCAAACCACTGACCACCTGTCTGCAATGCACCCTGAGCCCTGCCACATGCACAATGGAGGACCTTCTTGCAGCAACACCAGAAACACTCCAAGTGGCCAGATACTGGTCAAAGGACATTTAATCAACTACCAAACTTGCAAATTTTGTGTTTTGTCTGTCTGTTTGTTTTGTTTTGTTAGAAATGTAATACAATTGACTGGTTGCCCTGACACAACAAATAAATAAATAAATAAATAAATAAATATTTACTTTGCATCTGAAACTTTGAAGTTATTCACACAATTAAACTTGGAATCAATGTTTATCTGAAACCTCCCCATATGTGTTGTAATTTTTTAATTTAATGCTAGGGCTTTAAGTTACATTTATGTTGTAACAAATACATAGTAAAGAAATAACAGTATTTTTTGGTTGTGTCAGGAACGACTTGAGAAACTGCAAGTCGCTTCTGGCGTGAGAGAATTGGCCATCTGCAAGAACGTTGCTCAGGGGATGCCTGGATGTTTTGATGTTTTACCACCCTTGCGGGATGCTTCTCCCATGTCCCCGCATGGGGAGCTGGAGCTGATAGAGGGAGCTCATCGCGCTCTCCTCGGATTCGAACCTGCAACCTGTTGGTCTTCAGTCCTGCCGGCACAGGGGTTTAACCCACTGCGCCACAGCTGGAGTGACACTCATTTTCCTCAAAGGGGAAGCACTGTTTCCGTGGTGTACATCTGTACTTGGTAAACAAGCTGAAAAGGTTTTATATATAATCAAAAATGTACAAAACTTGTTAAAGTAGAGGCAATGGTATAACCATAGAATCATAGAATCAAAGAGTTGGAAGAGATCTCACGGGCCATCCAGTCCAACCCCCTGCCAAGAAGCAGGAATATTGCATTCAAATCACCCCTGACAGATGGCCATCCAGCCTCTGTTTAAAAGCTTCCAAAGAAGGAGCCTCCACCACACTCTGGGGCAGAGAGTTCCACTGCTGAACTGCTCTCACAGTCAGGAAGTCCTTCCTCATGTTCAGATGGAATCTCCTAATGTAGGTGCAAACGTACTTGCATGCCTTTCCTGTGCTCTTTCCAACTCTCTTAGAAATCAAATTACAGCCAAAATATATATCCAATTAGAAACCTGCAATTGCTCGAAATTAGTTCTGGATTGGTATGTTAAAAAACCGCACACACAACCTGTTCTTTGGAAAGTCTACTAGGAACATTACGCACACTTAAGCAAAACCTCCTTGGCCGCACGTATGGCTAGAAGTAAACATACCAATGTTGAATTTTAATTAAGTGTAAACAGAAAACTCATTTAACTAAAGCAGCTTAAAACGGAAAATCAGTCTTCTGTAGGGAATGAGAGCTTTGGACATCAGAACGAAAGGCGGAGGATTCTTTTGCAGCATCAGCAGCCCATCTCAACAAAAACTCTATGCCTTCCTTGAGGGAAGCTCTCTACAATCTCAGGCAACTATTTCAACTATCTTTTAAAAGACAGTAGTGACAACACCAGGGTTTGATGTGTGCTTTGGACTTCAATTCCCACAATCCTTAACTATTGTCTATGCTTGCTGTGTCATTTGAGAGTTGAAGCCTGGGAGAAGCATGGTATGCATAATTTATAGCATCTCCTCCATTGCAAGGCTTTACCATGGAGCATACAATACATAAGACATTGCCCTCTACGCTAAAACTTGGGCTCCTTCTACACTGCCATATAATCTAGATCAGTGGTTCTCAACCTTCCTAATGGTGTGACACCTTAATACAGTTCCTTATGTTGTGGTGACCCCCAACCAGAAAATTATTTTCGTTGTACTTCATAATTGTAATTTTGCTACTGTTATCAGTCATAGTATAAATATCCAATATGCAGGGTGCATTTTCATTCACAGGACCAAATTTGGCACAAATACCCAATATGCCCAAATTTGAATATTGGTGGAGTTGGTGGGGATTGATTTCATAGAATCATAGAGCCTCTGCTTAAAAGCTTCCAAAGAAGGAGCCCCCACCACACTCCGGGGCAGAGAGTTCCACTGCTGAACGGCTCTTACACTCAGGAAGTTCTTACTCATGTTCAGATGGAATCTCTTTTCTTGTAGTTTGAAGCCATTGTCATTTGGGAGTTGTAGATGCTGGGATTTATAGTTCACCTACAAACAAAGAGTATTTTGAACCCCACCAGCGACAGAATTGAGCCAAACTTTCCACACAGAACACCTTCATGGCTGGAATCACTGGGTTGTTGTAGTTTTTTCGGGCTATATGGCCATGTTCTAGAAGCATTCTCTCCTGACGTTTCGCCTGCATCTATGGCAAGCATCCTAGTTGCAACAGACCTCACTACTTCTGAGGATGCTTGCCATAGATGCAGGCGAAACATCAGGAGAAATGCCTCTAGAACATGGCCCTATAGCCCGAAAAAAACTACAAGAACCTACAACCAAACTTGGCACACAACTCCCATGACCAACAGAAAATACTGGAAGGGTTTGGTGGGCATTGACCTTGAGTTTTGGGAGTTGTAGTTCACCTACATCCACAGAGCACTGTGGACTCAAACAATGATGGATCTGGACCAAACTTGGCATGAATTCTCAATATGCCCAAATATGAACACTGGTGGAGTTTGGGGAAAATAGACCTTGACATTTGGGAGTTGTAGTTGCTGGGATTTATAGTTCACCTACAATCAAAGAGCATTCTGAACCCCCACAACAATAGAATTGGGCCAATCTTCCCACACAGAACCCCATGACCAACAGAAAATACTGTGTTTTCTGATGGGCTTTGGTGACCCCTCTGACACCCCCCCTCGCAACCCCCCAGGGGTCCTGACCCAAGTTGA